GTTTTTTTTTTTTGAGTCGGAGGAAGGAAAAAGACACCTGGAGCACTGGAGACGACGACTACGACTTGATGATAATGGGCATTTGTTGTTTTCTATTTAGCAAGTAGACCTTTTTTTTAAATTGTTATTTACGGGTATATTCAAACTACATAATGTGCCATTGAAGTAGAACTTCGTTGCCTCGAGAGGAAAGCCATGTCTAACCATTGTAGCTAACGTGGACGTGGTCCCTAGATACCCTGTTAGCAGAGAAAATGGCCAGTTATGCTGCAGTATTCAGGACTTACCAGTGGTTCTGAGTGATGGAGCCACGGTCTTCCATTCGTCTCCAGTTGGTCCACGGGGAAACCTTGTTTAGGGACGGGTTCCAGATCCTCTGCCCCCAGATAACATATTTCAAGTTCAGGTCTTTGCGGTGGTTCATAACCCACTCAGCCATGACGCGGCCAAACGCATCTCTGTCGCGTTTCTTCACAATACCATGCCATGTTAGCTTTCTGTATTCCTTTCCTATTATATCACTGGGAAGGAGGAAGGGAAACTTACGCCGGCCACAGACGTGCACATCATGTCAGTTGCAAGGCCACAGCAGTGCTCGCTGTTACTTGGGCATGGGCAGTCTCGGATGCAGAAAATCTCCCTGACCATTCCGGGGTGGGCTGCTACGATCTTCTTGGCGCCATCCACTGCAGTCTTCTTGCATCTGCCAACAGCTGGGATCTTTGGTGGGGGGAATTTTCCGCCACCACTCGCTTTTGGGAGGCAGCATTGGAAGCTAGAGGGACCAGGGCAAAGTCCGGCTTGGGTGTTTCCGCTTGAGCAAGTGGAGGTGAAGCGGCAGTTGCCGCCATCACCACACGAGGTCTTAGAGCAGCATTTGATGCCAGCAGGAAGGCCGGCACAGGCATTGGAGATGTAACTTCCACCAGCTTTGGTGCAGCTGGAGGTTGAAATGCAGGTTCCAGGTGCACCTCTAGCACCAGTGCAGGGTCCGTTCAGGGTGGCTGCCTGTACACCGCTGAGGGAGAGGATGGCATAGGAGATAAAGTGAGTGAGCTTCATGGTGTTTGGTATCGTTTATTATTCACTGGATGATAGAAGAAGCATGCTGTTCCAGAGGAGCAAGCCATCCGAGTCTTTATATATGGTAAGACCCACCATTTTGAATAGATACCCGTCTCGGTTTCTAAAATAGAATCACCTGTCTTCTTGGAAGTTAGGAGTTAAAGCTTTTCCCGTGTGGTCAGCCTAACCCTAATAATGCCCGGATTTGAGGGCTGGCACAGCTTTGCTTCCTAACATGTGTGAATAGTATACGAGATGATCCGGTTCAGATGGCCCCGTATCCCATTCTTGGGTTCCTTTAGTGTAGCACTGCATATTGCCTTGGACATTCCGGTGGGGATGTGGTCAGGCTCGAGCTTGCTGGGGAACGGGGAATGCATATGGGTGTTCTTCTCCCTCTCCGCGGTTATCGCCAACTTCCCAGCGACGAAAGCGAGGAAAAGACAGCATCACTGGCGAAAAAGTTATACACCCCACGTGGCATACCAGGCCCAACGGGGCATTATATCAACACTCTGCCATTAGTTAGTCAGCCATTAACTATTCCGTGCGGATGGAGCATATGGAGCCCCGAAAGTCCACCCCTACATTCGGTTAAGAGCAGCCATTGAATACCAGACTTCGGCCTCTTATGTTTACTGCAGTAGAAGCTAACGAAGAGCCACGGTGTAATGCTTTTGCATAACCTTGCGGAATAGGACAGCACATGACAGGTGCTGACCCGTGGACCAAAAGGGTGGCGTCATTCAAGCCGGGAGCTGCTTCTCAGGAAAATAGCCAAGTTATTCTTGTATGAGATGTATTCAAGGAGTGATAATATACAACATCAACCATGTGGTGAATCCAAATGGCACCTATAGCTAGATATCGTGACCTCTGAAGATCATACTTGGCAAATTGTGGGGAGCACAAGGCATCGCATAAAACCACGGTTGTGCCTCGAAGCTAAGTAGAGGGCTGAATACGAGCCTTGGGCGGGTGAGGTCATACAAGTGTTGAGCCATGAAAGTAACTGCTAACTGGGCGGCTTGAGAGGAGGCTTTGAGTGCCCACCTACATTAGTGCATCGATCGAGTAGTGTTGGCGAGGGCCCACGCAGAAATGGTCCAGAATGCTAAATTGAGAAATTGGAGTTCGGTGCAATGGCAGCGATCATAATGGATGATAGAATATCAAGTGTCATATGGAGTATATTCCATAAGATATGCGGGATGGGGGCGGCCAGAGAGCGGCGTTAGAGCGTTGAAGCGATTTTCGAAACTTTAAAATAGCATCGTATCCAAAGCCATCGGCTCCATCACCGGAGTAATTCGTCTATCCGTCGAATGGCCGTGTTGCTCTTTTTCAGCATTCCCAGACAAAACGGCCGAAGCCATCGGAAAACTCCTATAAGAATGGAAGTTCCACCGCCTCCCCATCCACCATAAAACGACTCCAAACGCCGCGAATGATGCTCGGCTAAATGCTCGCTGAATGCTGCAGCCATGCCATCCATATTTATCTCCAAGGAACCCCCAAGCCAGGAATTCCCGATCGTCCAATAGCGGAGCCGGCACTATCAACAACTTTTCTCTTCCCTCGTGGTCCTTCTAGCGCTCTAGCCCCTTGGACGATCCGCTCGAGGTTCGTTTCTATCACCACGCCTCCGACAATCATCTCTCCTAAAACCGCATGCATCGTTTCGTAACCGAAAATAAGATCAAGTTCGCATACATTCTCAAAGAGGCGGTCCAGGGCCTCAACAAACACTTGGATCAAGTCTATCAAGGCAAGAGGTGACTCTGTTGATGTAGATATCAAGATAAAAGACAGTGTAGCATAGGTTCGGTATGTGATCTGGGTGGGTGCATCGGAGTGGCTACCAGCTGAGTTGTTGCTCGCGCCTTGTGAGAGCAAGGGAGGCAGCGGGAGGAAGTTGCATGCTGAAGCAGGACGCTGGGAGACAAGTGTGTATATCTGCGATATGAGTGACTGCTGGGTTTGTGTGTCCTGGAGGCCATTTTCATGTTAACTGAGGATCAAGGTGCTGCCTTCAGGCGTGTATGTGTAATTACCAGCTGAGTATAGAACTTTGTTAGCCTTGGTTGGCCACTATTATTAAACACAAGCACTGCGTTAATCATCTTTTGCGTCGCTCCTTTATTCTCTGTGTATGTAGCATGTATTCTCAGTTGCGTTCGCTCTGATATCTCGAGTCTTGCCGCAGGTTTGCGATGTCCAAGCGAACTAACTTGACGAGTTGGTGTTATCGAGGGCTTATCGGCATGTCTTGGCATGTTTGCTGCTGTGTGTCTTGTTTGCTCTTGTCTCGACATCGCAAACTCGCAAACTTGAGCTTCATCGATTCTTCAAAGATGCTCAAGCTACCTTCTTGAATACCACGCTCATTATCTGATATATTGCAGTTTGCTAATCATCATAATATCCGTTCCTAGATAAACTAGGGCTCTCGACCCATGAGCACCCCAACCCGATAATGGCTACACGCCCTGCGTTAACTCGCATTTCCAGACGCCTCGTTAAGCCTATACTCCCAGAGCTACCAAAAAGACAGCCATCGAAGTCTGGTGCGCTCGACAATGGCGCCTCTTCCAGTACAGTGGAATCCTCGAAGATAGGAAAGCAGCCTAGTTGGAGAACAAAACTTCAACCAGAAGAATACTGCTCCTACAGAGACCCTACAATTCCAGTGCCTGAACAACTTGAATATGCAAGGCGGTTTTTTGCCAAATCAAAACATTCACCTGTCCATCTTTGGACAACGAACCTATTCCGGAAAATACCCGAATCGGATATTCCCGAGGTGGTGTTTATGGGCCGGTCAAATGTGGGCAAAAGCTCGGTAATTAACATGCTGGTTGGGGAGGACATCTGCTATACCTCAGCAACACCCGGTCGGACACAAACTATGAATGCATTTGGAATTGGAGGAACAAAAGGTGGCGAAACAAAGATTAATATAATCGACTCACCTGGTTACGGCAAAGCCAGTAGACCGGAATGGGGTCATGAGCTGATGAAATATCTAAGTAAAAGACAACAGTACGTAGACTCTCGTTTTCACTCTAACAGTAATTGTGGGATTCTTCTAACTATTCCCAACCTTGACAGACTCAGAAGAGTATTTCTCATTATTGAGTGCAAGGCCGGTGTTAAGAATTCAGATAAGGAAGTTCTTTCCATCCTCCGAGAATTTACTGTCCCTCATCAGATTATCGTCAGTAAGGCCGATAACTTTATAACCGAAGGCAGGGCCGGAAACCAAGAGGCCCATCGTGCTGCTAGTTTGAAGCAGTTTAGACAAATTATTTCTCGAATAAGAAAGGAGGTTACTCCGACTCTAGAAGAAGGGATTCCACCTCTGGGGGATATTTTGGCTTGCAGTAACAAAATTCGGATTGGAGAAGGTCATAATAAGCATCCCCTGGGTATTGATGCATTACAGTGGTCAATCCTACAGGCTGCTGGTTTTGACTATCAACCGTCCCAAGCATTGTATCCCCAGTAAAGTCGGGCCTGGAAGAGGTTTAACAACTACCTAGCTCCTTGACTTGTCATATTATCTCTGCGACTTTAGTGCCAGAGTACTAGTCGGAATTTTGGGATTTACGTTCATGTTTATAAGCGTGAAGACAAGAGCAAGTGGTTTGAGGTCAATATAGAGGCTGTAGGCAACTTGGCGTTTATTTTGTATATCCTCGCAGCTTATTTGTACTTAAAAAGAAACCTTTGAATACTATTTCCCGCTCAATCTAACATACAACTAGCTGGACATTAGTAAGAAGTAAAGGGTCCTTTGGGCAGCTGGAGGGCCAACACTAGGAATCAAGCATGAGGTAGACATCAACAGACAGGTGAAACGTGACATAAAGTGGTACTCATACAACCGCATTGGTGAGCTTATAGCTCACGCAAGAAATGAATAAAACGCAAAGGGGTATGTAGATGGCACGTAGAAAACAAGTGAAAGGGGAGAGAAAATAAAAAAAATCAAACGGCTAACCGCCCCACATCTTATGAGAAACAAGAGAGTAGGCTCGCAACCCTCGAGGTGGGCGAAAAACAAAGTAACTCCATTATCACCGTGAACAAGTAAAGGGGGTAGTATCCGAGTATGCGAAACCGTCACTAAGGGGCATAAAATGCATGTCGTCCACGCTATGCGATGCATCATTGGGTTGAACGCGTATTTGGTAAAGGGGGAAGGTAACATCTAATAATCATTGAATGTGCTCGAATAATGTTTGGGTATCTGGGTGTGGTGTTGTAAGTGTGAATGCGAGACTGTGCAGTAGAGTCGGCCAGACATTTGGGTTGACTGGCTATTCAGGTTGTTGGAAGATATGTGGGTTTAGGAATCCGAAACTTCCTCTTCTACAGGAGGTTTGGCGTCATCGCTAATTTCTTCGCCATTTTCATCGACGACTATGCGCTGGCCAAGTTTGTGTGCAGGCGTTCCATCACGATAGGCACCAAAATCAAGAACCTATAGTATATTGTTAGTTATTGAATGGAAAAATGAGAAGGTTATCGTGATTATATGCGAACCTCAATGTATGTAAGGCGATTTCGCTGAACAGCTGCAACACATCGTCTATCATTGAATCTTACTTGCCAGACTCCGCTGAGATCAGTGAGAAGGTCCTTCAAACACTCTCCGGTTTTCACGTTCCACATTTTCAACGTCCTATCAGAGCCAGAAATGACTTTCTGAGAATCATGTTGGAAGCAGGTGATGGCATTTGTATGTGCTGTCAATGTGTTCTTGCATTGACCATTCTCGGGATCCCAAATTCTTAAGGTATAATCCGCTGCAGCGGAAACGAGGCGACCGGCATTTAAGTCAAGAAGGCCAACAAGTGACGTATGCCCTTCCAGATTATAGAGGACAGCACCAGTGTCAAGGGACCAAATTTTGACCATGTGGTCCATTGAACCACTAATGCAGCGGTTTCGTTTATGATCCAGAACCACACTGTAAACCTTGAAACTGTGGCCTTGAAGGCAATGAACGGCCTCGCCAGTGGATATTTTCCATACCCTGACGGTGCAGTCATAGCTTCCACTTACTAGGGTATCGCCGTGGGCAGCAATAGCGCGGACTGAGTGCGTGTGTCCTACCATCACTCTAACGAAGTAGGGGCAAGTCCCATCATCCTGTGCAGGGCCCGCCTGGAAATATGTGGGATCGCTGGGCTTTGGCAACGTCCAGACTCTGAGCGTAGAGTCACGGGACCCAGTGATAATCAATGGTTCCTTGGGCATCATCTCCGGAGTGCCATCTGGAAGAGTCCCGACCTCCGCTGGTAGTAGAATCTGCAGGCATCTAACAGTAGACGTATGGCCATGGAAAATTTGCGTACATTTTGCACTTTCGATATCCCAGACGCGGACGGATCTATCCGTCGACCCTGAAACAAGAGTGTTACCGTAGTATTCGAGGGCCCAAACACCTCCCTCGTGGCCCTGAAGGGTTGATTGAAGGGCTCCGGTTTTGGTGTTGTAAACATTGATATTTGTATCGTCACTTCCGGTCAAGATCTTATCAGTATCAAACTGCAGGCAGGTAACGACATGGCGGTCATGAGCACGAAATGCAAGATGCAATGGTTTCGCATCTTCGCGCATCCAGTTATGTTTTATTGAATAATGTCTCTGATAGAGTGTCTTGTAGAGATGGAGACTCTTCAGGGAAGGTAAGCCAAAATCTGGGTAGGGAACAGCCATAGCTGCTGCATTGGCAGCAATAAACGGGTTTTCACTAGCTGTAAGCTGTTCTTGGAGCCATGGCGTGGCTTTATCTTCGGAAGGAGAAGGAAGAACTGTTTCCGCCCGTTTGGCAGCTCTTCGGCCGCTTAGATGAGCTGTGGCCTTGCGTTTCAGTCTCCTTGGAGACGGAGAAAACGGCGTGGGAAGGGTGGCTATCTTAGAGTCTGTAACGTCAGGATGCCATGCGCTTGACGAAGAACATTCGCTATCAGATGATCTGAAAGATTGGTTGCGGAGGTCCTTTTCACCATCACTGGGGGACATAGAGAACTGCCACCCCCATCCTTGCTCAATGGCTTGCTGTAACTCCCCAGCAGGGAGAACAAATCCATCAGCAACAAAATGTGCCTTCCATGTCTTCTCATCCGAATTGATGATGTGCCTCCATTTTCTGCAGACCTGGGAAGCTCGACACATGGACTTCACATCGAGATATTTCACGATATTTAAACCAAGCTCTAACGGTAGGTTAGACAGAAAGTCGCACTTTAATGCAGGATTGACGACATTTGCAACAAGATGAAGGGTTGATTTTGGACATCTGCGGAGGAACTGATACATCATGTACGATTTGAGTTCATCTGGTATCGCCTCAAAGGAGCTCAACATGTTCGGCATATCGAGCACCGAGGAGTTTGGCGACAATGGCATACAACCTCTGCTGGCAATTTTCTTGCTGTAGTCCATTATTTTCTTGGCCTTCTTTGTGCGGATGCCCTTATTGCTAGGCTTCGGCAGCTCATCCAAACTTGAATCTGCACCTCCATCATCTGTTGAATCCGACGCTTCTCCCAATCGTTGTGCATTCATGAGAGCTATCGGAGAGAGGCTGGGACTTGGCAAGCACATGTTTTGCGAATTTGAAGGTTCTAACCCGAGTAATCCTTGCTTGTTGCGTCGCGACTTTACCTGAAGTTTCATTTTCATAGACTTTCGTAAATTGCTATCAATCGAGCCATTATCCAGCTGGGTATTACCACGACGGCCGGCCGCCTGGGTTGGAGCTGTGCTAGACTGCTTCTCTAGAAGTGGGGACTTTTCTAGACCATCTCCACAACTATCCCCGTTGCTATCTTTATCTGAAGGTGCTATGGGGCTAGCTATTCCAGAGACACTTGGTGGCTCTTCATGATATTGCTTCCCAAGCATTGAACGGGTTCGTTGGCCACGCTTCCCCTTGTTGCAGTGTAAAAAGCTTGTATTCTCTGTTTCGGGAGTTGCTAGGCCCAGTTCCCGCTGGGGTAAATCATAACGTCGTGATAAAACCGTGTGCTCTGAACCAGTTTGTTGTAGTTGTTCTTCAGAAGAATTATGAATTGTCGCAGGAGTTGGCTTGGCAGTAGGGTTAGAAGTGGGAGATGGCGGTCGTCGTGTGTCTGAAGATCTTGGGGGTCGACTTCGAATTAGAAGGTTGGAGTTTGAAGCATCAGATTTGCTACTTTCTGGCGCGTCCCTAGACATCGAACGAATAGCTCCTGAGGTTTTCAGCGATTCCTGTTGCTCATTGAACTGATTTGACACGTTAGTATCTACTACAAAAAGTTTTCCACCTACAAAGGTATCGAATAAAAATTCTTACTTTGCTCAGAATTCCTGGAACATCGTCCGCTTCGTGAAAAATAACCGATTTCCCGTTCAGAACAAAGCGTATGTCCCGAAGGGGCGCTGGGGTCGGCATAGAAGCTAGCGGGTAAACCTTTGGGTCTAGCTGTCCAGAAAATCGAGGAGGTCTCATCACAAATGGCGGAAATTTGGTTGTAGTGGTTGTAGTGGTTGTCACAACCGTAGTTTGGGTGGCTGGAGCAAACGAGAACTGGCCCACGGTTCCGCTTGATGGTATGCAGTCGTCTGACTTCTGTGCTGTGTCTTCCTCTGATGCCGCGTTAAAACTGGACGTAACGGTAGGTTCTGGTAACGCCGATTCGGCATCATTTGGCGGTGAGTTGGCGGGTTTCCGCGTGGATTTCCCAGATAGTGGAGACATATTGGTCGTTGTCGAGTTGTGTATCTTGTAGAGGCCGCGGGTGAAATTGAGATATTGGGTTTTTTGTTTTTGGTCTTTCGTTCGTTTTTTCCCTTTTCTTTTCTTCTTTTATCTGATTTGTGGAACATCCAGAAGACATCAAATGTAAGTGATAATAATATTAGGACAAAGCGTAGGATAGATGCTGCGGCCAGGGAAAGGGAGAACGCCCTTTTCAAGCGGTCCGAGGTGACGGCAACATCCAGTCTTCGAGAGGTCTTCTTCAGATCATGTCTAGCAGGAGACCTCGGCAATCTATCATGAGGGTGCAGTTATGGGAGACAAAGCCGGGACGGTCGTGGTAGGGCAACGAGGGGTGGGTTGTGATGCAAACACGGCCAGTCCTTTTTACATCGGAATCGACCTGCGCGGATTAGTATTCGGCAACATGCCGTAGATGCAGGATGGGGGCGTACAGTAGACGACAGAAAAACACTATACAAGCAAAGCAAACGCTATAACAGAGAGGTATCGGATATCTGTCGCGAGGCTGTCAACGCGGCCTGTCGAGATATTTTGATAGATGGATGAGGGGAGCGAGCAAGCAGAAAGAAGGAGAAGGCGGCGAGACCTTCGTCGGTCGGTCGTGGCTGGCAGAAAAGAAGCGCGGTGAGAAGACCCGAAACCGGTTTAGCGCGTTCCGGGCCCAGCTTCCCCCATATAAATTTGATTCATTAGATAAGATTAGAGTGTGTCTCCCCCAAGGACAAAGGCGAGCATAGCGAAAAGGGGGATGAGACGAGACAGGGGAAGCAGTGAATACTCCAGCGGCTCTCTCCCTCCCAGCTCGTCACTCGCTCCGGACTGCACTGGCGTAGAACTAACTGCGTCCGCCTCTCCCTCCAGAGGCGTGGCAAGGCGTCTTCGGAGCGATGTCTGTTGTGGGTTTTGCCTTGCTTCACGTGCAGCAATAAAAGCTGCTGTTTTTCCCACAGCAGCACGGAGCAGAGAGGGAAAAAGGAAGGAGGAGGACCAATCACTGGAGAGCCGATGGCCTCTCCTGCATGATGAATGATAACTCCGGAACGAGCCTGATATTTTCTTCTCCCAACAGTCCAATACGGTCACCTCAGGCATAACTAGTCGCAGCCCGCTGCTGTTGAGCTTTGGTTCTTTGTTTTTATTTCTTCTCGTCTTGATTTGTTTTTCAAAAGCGCAAGGCCTTCGATAATGATAAGCCATGTTGAGAACAATTGGAGGCTGCAGGTTGCTTACACGTTGACCTCAACTTCCATGCAAGTGGAGACGACCTTTTGCGTCATGCTCTCATGCAGAACAGTCTCCATTTCTTTGCTGCAAGATAATTGCTTGCCTTGACAAGTTTTGGATAGCATCAGGTATCAACAAAGTCTCAACGTTAGTCCGCACATTGTGGGTGATACCCTCCTGCCTTCCGTGTGGCTCGAACTTCACTGATCCTGGCGGCAGTGAATGTTCAATGCGTTCAAAATTGACCTATGCCTCTGCATTTTTCTTCAGTATATCCCAGTCGTCAAGCAGGGTCGAACATGCCTGGCATGTTCTTCGATTAGTATATGCCCTGAACTAGCATTTGCTCCTGCAGCGGCGTAACATTTTCATGAACAGTGATACCCTATGCAGTTTATTATTGATCTTTGTGGCCTCAATAGATACCTCGATAATGTCTGCTATATCTGTATTTGTTGTATCAGATGTCTTCATGAAAACTCCCTCGATTACTATGTATGAGGCTGATTTCCGAAGTTGAAGTAGAATTTACCGCATTGGGAATTCACATGACATGGCCCGATTGGGATATCCCTTACTCTTCTTCTCAGCTTCAACGCGTAGCTTCAAGTTCTTTTCCTTTTCGAACGTCCACGAAGGAGCATTATCACTAGCTTCAGTCTCAGAGCAATCATGGCACAGGCAATCTGTACGCGGCCGGCTCGACAGACTGCGGCAGCAGCTACCACAACGACGTCCGTGGCTTCGGCCACTTCTCAGACAAAGACCCAAGGCCAACATGCTGCTAATGGCCCGGTTGCCAAAACCATCCCAAAGCCACTATCTCTCTGTCAACCCCAGTCTCTATTGCAGAAGCAAAGTCTTGCGTTTGCCCAGATTATGCTACACGCTTCAGTAGGCTATCTTCCCGTCTTTTTGGTATAGACAACAATGCAGCTGTAGCTAATTGTGTGGTAATAAGTTCGGAACGCTATTCTACCTTAGGTATGGTAGAAAGGATTCGGAGTACAGGCAGATTACTAAATACTACACAATTTAGAGAATTCTTGCCTTTATCTTGTTTCGGGGAGCGAGACCTTCTCAACCTAAAGCGGCCGGACTCAAACATATCGTATGGTGACTTTGTTGATGGCAGCTCTGGTTCAGAAGCTGAGGCCGGAAAACGTGGGCAGCCGTTGAAGATAATTCTACGGGGCTGTAACCCAAAGGCTGATAGTGTTTTGAACCTGCTTGTTAGCTCTTTTGCCTTTCTACATTTGTTGTCTTAGTTTCAGCTGACTTTGCTTAGGAACATGGGATTTTTGACGCTCTAGAAAAAAATGTCCTTGAAGCAGTCCAACTTACGGTATTCGTCGATAAGGAGAACCCCTCGCATGTTCTAGAAACCTATACGTTTTCCTTTAACTACACAGAGGGAGGCATCAATGAACTCAAAAGGGGGCTAGAAGCAGTCTCTCTTGAGACGAATGTGCTAACGACTGGAATCAAAACTTTTCGAACCGCAAAGCAAGGCTTGGAGATGATAATCCGGAGACTTATAACTCTGAGCACTTTTCTCCCTATTCTACCAAGTGAGAATATGCCTGCACTTTCCAGTTTGGTGTTCTGTACTAACAATGTATAGACAAACGATTTCTGGAGATCCATCTTTTTTATACTCAAAACTGCCCACAGCAGTACGAACCTCATGGATTCAAACCTACAACCCACGATCAGATATTATACCCTAGAGATGACAGCTGGAGAAAAGAAACACAATCGTGTGGTATAATGGATGCTGGCTGCCACAGGTGAGCGAAGACTTTCTCCTCTATGGAGTTTATTGCTTTGTGAGGGTACTAACTGTTTGACGTAAAGAGTTGGGCTTAAAGTTACTTCCCTTAAATGTACCCGTGAGGATGCGGATGATGAGGAAGCAGGGACAAGACAGATTCCAGATACCCTTAAATATTCGGAGAAAGTAGACCGGGAGAGTGAAGTTGGGCTAGTGTGTGAAGAGCCTTCATCCCAATCCCTGACCCATGGCTCCGATGAAAGAAGTTCACAGGAATCAATACAAGTTCCAGAATCAACACAAAGGAGACAAGACGCCATTACGAAGGGAATGTTACAAAAAATGGTGAGGTTATGGTCTAAATATACGAAGTCCTATCAGTTGCTAACCTCGCTTTCATTGGCAGCTTGAAGTACCACCTCCGGACAGTGAATTAACACCAACCCAGGTGGATTCCTACTTCGGCTCTAATTCCTCAAAGACAACCTCAGGTGCTAAACCCTGCCTGAGCCAGGCACAGACATCAAAAATCAAGCAGAGAGTCAATCTTTCACAATCTACCCAAATTGCCGGTGATAAAAACCTGCAAAGTGGCAGGCACGAGGTTAATTGTCAATGCGGCTGGTCCGAGCCAGAGCCAGATATGGTATATCTAAGTGCCGTTGACCTTTCTTCAAGTTTGACCCATTCTGATGTGTTTCGAGCAGCTTGAATGCGATTTCTGTCATACCAGGCAGCATTTGACGTGTTATGGGTTTTTACATCCCAATGACGAGAAGATTCCCGCCACACATGCATGTTATACGTGCCTTTTAGGATCGGACGAAAGTAAAGTCTTCAGGCAAATCGAAACACTAGTGTTGCTCCGACAGGCCCTCAAAATAATTATCGAAGATGGCTATCCACTTCGGGTCAAAGAATTTGCCCAAAGACTACGTAAGCATACCTGCCCTATTTGAGCGTATATATACTCACCGTTATATAGACTGTAGTGGAAATGAGGTTGTACAGATTACAGACTTACTTAGAAAGAACGGGTTTCTTGAACCAACTCCAGGTTCAAAACGGAGGGGATTTGCAGAAAAAGGTCTACCGAGGTTCCGAGTTCCAGATTCAGAGAATATCAGGCATCGACTGAGGAATGAGATCTTCAACCCTTTGGCCAAAATCTCACACCACGTACGTACCATGCCTACTAGCCCAAGGTGTCAGTACTGATAATATTTCTATATAGTACATGATACCATCCACTCAAGACCCTCAACAGAATGGTGCCCGTCCTGTTGCGGTTCCCACGACTGCCCATATGTCAAGTACGAAGTCGGGAAATATGCTAAGTAACCACACTAACCTCCAGCACAAAAGAACGGCGAATGTCCAGACCATTCCAAATACGGAGCCTATTGTTATTAGCGAAGACGAGGATGACAGCATTGCCTTGCCTCGTGCAGCCCCTAGCGTGGCTCCTTCGAAGTGCCAGCACATATCATCTATGGGAAATGGGGGCCGGGCCGAGCGTGATAATGCTGCGACTACAAGCCCTCCATCGTCTCCTCCGCATTCCCAATATTCACTTGCATCCCGTGCCCAAGAGGAGCTAAGAAGAGGCCTGAGATATGGCGGTGGAAGGACCCGGCCTCTGGTTGACGCCGACTCGCAGGTTGCCTCTGTGAATCAGCCTGTAAAGCAACAGCCATTGAAACGGCGTAAACTTAGCAATGCGGCCCATCCCATTGACATCGGCGACTCTGCTGCAGAAGAGAGTGGTTGAGTATTTAAGCGGATGCTGGATTTATTGCCTGCTAACGCAGTCAGCTGCCTCTCTTCTCGTGTTCTTCCTGCACTGACGCTTCATCTTACCATCTATCCCCCCCTCAGTTATTTCGTCCATCTACGGAGTACGGAGTACTCCACACATTTACCTGACGTATATTTACCTGAGCCCATATCCTTTTTCCCGAGTCACGCCGATGGGTGTATATACAATTTACCCCATCTGCGTAATATGCCGTTATACGGAGTACCTTTAGCTACACCCCCCGTTTGACCTTATTTAGCAGTGCGAGAAATCGAAATCTCCTATGTGCCGGACGTGAGGTAATTATATTTATATCTGGACCACGAGACAGCATCTAGAACAAGACGAATATCACAACGCTGATCTGCTGTCTATTGAACTCTCGCTTGGCCGATCTCCCTTTCCGTCGAAGCACCTCTTGAGCCCCAATTCGTTCCCTTGCCTTCGCCACCGTAGACGATGAGTGATGATGGGCGGCGCGCTTTGGCCTCAATTCGGCCTGGAGCATTCAAATACGAGTTTTATATTTGCTCGTGGAGGCAATAGAGTGTGAATTATTCCCACTGAGGAGTTCTCTGGACGGGCTTTGTCCGTTGTTATTCCAATATTCCTTTTTCTAGTGGAATATTAGTTAGTGAGTTAGCCAGTGAACGAGTTATCAAATTCTCCATCGGTTCGTCATTTTGCATAGGCGGCCTCGCAGGCCATACTCCGTAACTCCATCGCCTTGATGACGCCGCCACTTCGCCACGAAATCATAATAATTTAATAAAAATGCAGACGGAAAGAAAAATGGGGGCAGAATGGAGAGAAGATGGAGGCGTGGTGTTTGGAGTCTTCACAAGGTGCATGCACATCCGAAGAGACCCAGGGTGATTACTCCGTGAGTGCACTGCTAATTTCAAAATTAAAGACAACTTGGCACGATAACTAGTTAGCTAGTTAAATTATTCGAGATTATTAACTATATGGTTATCGGTTATTAAGACTACTGGCATCGGAGCTACTGCAGGCAAGACATTTGATATCTCCCTGTTATTATTATCGATATGGATAATAAGATAATAAACCATGTCGAATTAAGCTTCTTTGACGAAAGAGCTCGGTCAGATTTACCCCAAACATACTTATGGCGATCGTATGGCGATTATGAGCCGGGTTAAGCTGACCTATGCCCATGGATGCTGAAATGGTTTGATTGTCATATAGTGCCAATGAGTTAAGAGGCAGGATGTGTACCAGGGATATCCTACAAATATTTGGATAAACGCCCCATCACGAAGTGGTCAGTAAGCGGTTGAAAATGGGTCAGGCCAGGGACGGCCGGTTGAATACTCGAGAGTATAAACACATTTTTGGAGGCCAGTTCCAGTACTCCGTACAACATACGGAGTATTCTGCTGCTCTATTTGTGGCTTCGGTTTTGCGAAAGTGACAGGAGATGGTGTTGACGATCAGAATTATGAAGCATGCTCTGTATGCACATCGTATGGGGCACCGATTTCAAGATATGCAAGAGTGCTTCGTACAACGGACATGATAGGGGAGAAGGGAAGGGAGGCTCTCTGCTGCTCGCCCGTTTTGGTTGATATACTGACCGTCTCCCCCCTCAGTGGCAAGGAAGATAGTCGTCCTTGCGGGTGCCACAGAGGGACAAAACAGAGAGAGACACGGAAGAGAGGCCTGTCCAACCTCTGGGTCTACCGTTAAAGTTAGAAGTAGCCAGTGTTTCAACCTCCCGTAGTCGGGAGACAATCGTTCAAAGCGTGGGACGCCACGTTACTCTATAGTATCGACACGCATACACATATACACACCAAGAGGGTCGGTCTACGACTATGTAAGTATATTGCGTATGCATGTACAGAAGTCGTTCGATGCCAGCGACCGATCGAGATGATGCACTCGGCCGTAATCGTCCTTGGATCAGAAAACGACCCTGGCAAATCTTGCGAATCGATTCAGCTATGGGGCCCTGGGGATAGAAGTAAGTTAGTTAATATATCTGCTCTAGCTATACTCGAATCGTGATATGGTGACAAAATGAGTATGCCCAGTCGTTTGAGATTTGATCCCAGCAAATCGGGGGCAGCTCAGGATCCATATATATGGTTAGGTAGACTATCAGCAAGGAGATACATGCTTCTCCCCCCTGAACGTTGAATCCTTTTGACGCCGGAAGATGTCTTTTTCGGTCCTAGCTCTTGCGGCTCTCCCGTGCCTGGTTGGCTGAAGCGGTGCCCAGGGCTTCTTCTTGCTCCTCTTCCTGGCCCGTCAATCACGTCTCAGCCCATCTGGCTGGACATGCGTGGCCTTGTCAGCCGGTCAGCCGTTCTGCCGTTGTTTTTATGTAACTGCATCGTACGGAGTACTTTTTAGAAAGAGATCTCGACAGCCCGGGCTGGCGTAGACGAGGAGCTGCTGCCAACGGGAAGGACTCCCGTCTCGTAAGTAATGCAGCGACTGTCATGGCCCTGGTCTCTGGAACCCGCAAGCTCCAGTCAATTGTGTTTCAGGTTCCCTTTTCCCTTTCCTTGGTAGGCCAGTTTAATTAATCCTAGACCAACCAGCATCGGTACGGAGCATATTTCTCCACAGGCACAGAACGGGTCGAAGCCGAGGAGCTCCAGCAGGGGGCGGTCCAGACGCACAGGAAGCGTCGTGATGTAATGGCCAGACATCTTCACGCTTGACGTTGTTTGGGGGTACGGAGTAACAGTCCTGTTGATACGGAGTAGCGAAGGGCGCAGAGTCTCATAACTAGCGGACAGCACTGAGTAGTCATGGCATCGACTGGATTCTCTCCCCGTAAAATAACTGAGAGATGCTCTTCCCATGCCCTCTCGCATCTTCAACCCCCAGGGACGGGGGGGAACATCAGCTTCAGATATCCCTTGCCCGATCTCCAATTTGTGCGACGATCCTCACTGGCGTTACTTTGGCGCAGTGCAGCGTAAGGGCTAGCGAAAGATGAACCCTGCAAGCCCCCGAAGGAGCCTAAAAAGAAGCAAAGACGAGCAGCGAGAAGAAGCAAAAGCGGACCCAAACGGCGGCAAGGAGAATATTTTTGGACCTGGAGAAAGGAGGCAGGCGAAGCAGACAAGCCAGAGCAGCGCTGCGAGAGCCGGCCATGCCATGCAAAGGCCCTCTGCCTGTGGTATCGTCGCCCTCTCGTTGCTTTTTCTCTCTCTGCGGCCGCTCTGCTGTGCGCACCCCGTACATATATCCCGCTTTTTCTTCGCTCCGTCTCCTCTCTGCCGCCTCTTTGTTGGGCATCAGGCACGAGTTCCTCCTTCGAGAGCGCCTTGGACCAGTCTGCTTGTGTTTTCTGACCGTGGTTTGCGCGCCGGCAGAGTTCGTTCCGCGCGGTGATGCTGCTGTCTCTCCTCCCGCAGCCGTGATATCTCAGATAGTTCTCCCCCAGACCGACCAACCTCCACGCCAGGCGCAAGAAAGAAAAAAAAAAATCATAATAATAATAATACCAGATTCTTGCCAGGGACAAGGGGAAAAAAAAGAAAAGAAAATTGAAAAGGGGACTTCTTCATAGCGAAAGAGCCTTCAATAGCAGCCAGGTCGTGCAACTATTCCCTCTCGCATGGTTGGCGGATCTGCGACTTCGCGCTGTTCTGGAAGCACAAGGGAGGCCCAGATGCTGGCATAAACCACGCTGCTGGCCATTACAGATAGTCGCTATACATACGGAGTACAGGCCGGCGCTGCAGACAGCCGTCAGTCCTCGATCGTACAGACACACATGTTTCACACAGGCAGCATGACGCTGGATATCCCCCCGCGGATGTCGAGCGCTGGCCAGCACCATCACCACCACCACCAGGACCAGCGGCAGTACCGGCAGGAGACTGCCATAGGGATCATCGAGCGTGCCTTCGACTCCTTTCCTGCTACGCCGAGCCCCGACCTGGCCCTCTGGAGGGAGCACAAGGGGGGGTTACGGGAGACAGAGATGGAGACTGATGCGGCACCGCGAGCAGAGAGCTGTGCGTCAGACCTTACGGGGGGTTACAGCATAAACCGGACGGGCCGTCTGGATGAGGAGGTAGATATAGAGCCGGTCAAGGAGCACAAAGTACGGCCACGTCTTTCATCTCCTTTTCTTCGGCACGTCACAAGGAAGACATCGTCGAACTTGAAACAAGACTCGCTGCGGCCCTCCGAGCCCTCCTCCTCCTCCTCTACCTCCCAGGCCGTCAACCGCTCACAAAAGTCTTACCACACAAACGGAACCTCTTCCCAGGACCTTGCCTTAAGGGACTATCCGGCCGGGGCCAACCAGTCTACTACAGACCTGTCGACAGATCACAACTCCAGGGGGACTTCTTCACGCAAGGCACATAATAAACAAAAGCATCGGCCACCCATGATTGACCTATCTAAACTCTTCCCTAGACAGCGCAAGACGCCTGTTCCTTGTCCTCCGTCTCCTGTCCGGGTGGATACTCCCCCGTCGATCATGTCCAATGGGTCAGACACTTCTCTCTACAAGACTCACAAGTTTGAAAAGGCCCAGCGGGCCCTCGACCGGCTGACGACCAGATCCCCCAACTCAGGAAAACTGGACATGATACAGTCGGAGTACCGGCAGGAGGATGATCTAACACCTGTCCAGGCGCCCCTGGACCGATACCAATCTACTTCATCCCTTCAAGAACCCTTCAATCACCAAAAGGATCAGAGCAATCAGCAGCAGCAGAAGCAGCGTCAGGAGAAGGACAAACTAGCAGAAGACACAGGGGAACGTCTCACTGACCGCAAATATGAAGGTAACTGGCGGGATTTCAATTACAAACGGAAGAAGCTTGACTCGGCATGGTATGATGGGGTTGGACACCATCTAGTGGATGATGATATGGGTATCCAACCGGGAGACCAGGTCGAGGTCATGTATGGGCAACTGCTGTCCAGAGATCCAGCACCCGCCACGAGAGAACGGCGTTCAATGAGCTTGCCTTCTCGTCAACCTAGCATTCAGTCCGGAAAACCGGGCCATGGCCGTCTTGCAGTACCGAACGGATCAACGCAGAAGCCCAAGACCTCGTCGGGATCAGTGAAATCGGCTTCAATGGCAAATTCAAACTCATACAGCTCCCAGCCAAGTGTGAACACCAACTCCCGGCCAGCTGGGAAATCAGACAAGGAGGAGCCAAGGATAAGGAAAAAGAGCAGTCGCGCCATTTTGAATGCTTCCAACCTGAACGAGTCGAGTGTTCTCTGTCTTTCCTCATCCGAAGACGAGAGTGAGGATGAGTCGTCTGACCATACTACCGGGCTAAGGGATAGTATCACCACGATTGACGAAGGCTTCCAGATATGCACTGCCAAAGCTGTGACTACCGCCAGTCGGCCGTCCATCAAACGAGTCCGTTCAAGCTCTAAGAAACATACAGCAAGGAGCGGAACGAGTACGGCAACTAGATCACAGAATGGCGATACCTCTAGCAGGGCATCTAGCCTTCATCCGTCGATCCTAAGCCCAACGGACTCGAATTTCTCTAGCGGTCGTACCATCCCTGACCGGTTGCCTACCTCCCCCCCTACGCTGCCCCGTATACAGACTCAGTTCTCGCCGGCCGAGAGCGGGCTGTCCCAACCAGGAAATAGAAGAAGCCGTGTCATAGCAGTGACCAGACAAGAGGAATACCTTCTGGAGCTGATAAGACGGAACAAGGGCGCCGTACCACAAACCCTCTCCCCCGACGGCAGTGCATCCACCAACACCAAGGAATGGGCCAGAGCACTGGCAGCTCAGATGAACCGACGAAGTGCCTCCAGCTATAGCTCTGATACATCCTTCCTACGACTCAGTCCTGCTCTTCCTCCAACTCCGCTCCAAAAGAGGCCTCCTCGATCTATCCCAAATCCCAGCATTGCATCTACCACTGGCGATGCAGCCAGCTCTCCCTCAGTTCCACAAAGCGTAACTTCAGACACAAGTTACCACACAAGCTTCCAGAGCCCTCCCCCGTTACCCAAAATCAACCTGGTGAATTCCGGCGTCTGCTTCCCTTCTCCTCCATCGGGCCAATCCTCACCTTTCACCCCTCCTGCGGTACCGTTCAAGCATCGCCGTCATTCTTCTCGCATGTCACATACCCCGTCCATGCCATCTGTTAGGGAAAGTCTTCGGAATCGAGCCAACACAACTGCTATATACGATGACAACGACGATTGTGAAAAGGACATCGAGACGAATCCTGATATCCCCATCTGGGCACTAGGATGGAACAGCGAGGCCACCGGCGTTGCCATCGTTCATTAAACAGCCATTATTTTTTTTAAACCCCTCTCTTTCCTTGGAAATATCTTTCCCCTTACAATCGTTTTGAACTACCAGGCTAGCCGCCTTTTCGTCTACTTTTCTTTTATTATTGTACTAACGAGATAACGCTTGAAGCACAACCGGGAGTCTCATTCTTTCCAATCCCGCTTTTCCTTCTACGGGCTGCCCTTATCTACTGTTACTTGTCTAATTTCATATTGTACCACCAACCTTTGCTCAGCATGGCGGAGTCTGTCGTGTCTGCTTATATTCTTGGATCTCTTTTTTGCATCAGTCCACCCATCTCCCAAGCCAGGGGTTTTCTTTCCTTTGCATAACTAGCGATTTAAGTATCATCGAGAATACATTTAGAGATCTCATCTCCATCTCCCAACTCATCCCGTCATGGATCCGAGGCCACCCCTGACCCAATAGTAGCCCGACAACAGACTGCCCCCTGCCGGGAACAAGGGCCTTCCGCAGCGGTGGAGAGAGCCGCAGTCTGCCAATGATGAAGCCAAAAGATAATGGCCCTCTGGACGCCCTTTGGCAGTCGATTATTATTCGGTGTGCAGGGTGTGTCACTGTCTGTCACTACTGTAGACCGTCTTTCTACATCCCGTCGCCATGCAAGGACTCACCCCCATGCACTCTGCAAGTGTGCTGCTCCCTGGCATCTTGTAGGGAGAGACATACATGCATGGACAAGAAAGGCTGCCCACCCATAAATTCCAACCCCGGAGATATCTCTTCCTAGTTATCGTCTGCGCTACAACTCGTAACCCGCCCGAGTGGCGCCCTCCCAGCAGCAGCCAGGGTCGAGCAGACCGACGCAAGCAGGAAAAGAAACGAAGGGGAAAAAGCAAGCATCAAGCAAGCAAGTCCTTGCATCGCAAAAAAGTCAAGCCACTCCTTTTTGTCTTTTTTGTCCTTTTTTTTTTTTGCTTAGTTACGCTTCTTCATTTCTTCTTCGGCGGATTTGCTGGCTCGGGATCGTGTGACAACTCATCTCTCGCTTGCCTGCTTGCTTCTTTTCAGCTGTCGCTCTTTTTTTCGCGGTGCAGGCGTCGCCATCAGTTAGTTAACGAGAATATCTCTCTTCTTTGCCGTCGTTCCTCCAGCCCCGTCGTCTGGTCCTTCATTCTTCTGCGGCTTGCACTGGAAGCTCGCCTTCGCTGCATCTGCTCGTCCGGCCTAGAAACGAATACACCGGCAGAGGCATGCGTGCTGCTTCTTCGTGACACTGCATTTCTCAACCCCCGAATACAGCTGCCTGCGCAGTCGTGACCGTTGTTGCGCCGCGCGGTCCCTTTGTATACGGTACGCACACCGTTAGACGGACAGCTGTGCGCCTTGCACCGAAGACGGACACAAGATGGGCAGAGAGTCGAGGGCGGGGTCGTCCATATGGATGGGAGTCCCAGTGAGGAGCTTTTTGATGGTCCTGGTACGGGCTTTGCATCTCCTCTGACTTTGAAAAAAAGTGTACGGATGTTATGGACTGCTCACTGACGAATTGCTTTTTGGCTGGAATAGTTGACGGTGCAGTCGTCCGCATACATCCTGGTATGAACATCTACCTCCGAATCCTCCAGACAAAATTTGCGCGCGAGTGGATAGAAGAGCTGACCGGGGCTGTAGCTGCTGCATTACTCCAGGGTTATGCCCGCTGTTGGCGGCCATAGATACACCCCTTCGACAGCCGTCTTCCTCAACGAAGTGATAAAACTAGTTATTGCCCTTACAGCCGCTCTCTACGAACTCTCCTTTACAGCACATACCTCTACGACAGCCACGTCTCTATTTATCACCCTTTCTTCCAAAGTGTTCTCCGGAGATAGTTGGAAGTTAGCTATACCCGCTATATTCTATACCATTTCAAACTCGCTTCAATATGTTGCTATGTCCAACCTGGAAGCTGCACGTTTCCAAGTTACATACCAGCTGAAGATTATACTAGGCGCAGTATTCGGAGTCGCCGTTCTGCGCAGGAGTCTAGCGCCAGGAAAATGGGCAGCCCTGTTCCTTCTTTTAGCTGGCGTGGTGATCATGCACCTACAACTCTCATCTGATCCTCTCGATCCTGATAATCACAAGCACGTAAATATACGACGCTCCCTCTCGGATCTATCGGACATCTTCATTGGACGGGTTGAAGAAGAAGCCCCCAAGCTGACAAAACGATCAGCTACATATGAAGGCATCATTGAGGACATGATGCTTGCTCATCCACGATTGAATGCTAACATCGGCGTTCTAGCCACCCTTGGCGCCTGCATCACTTCGGCATTTGCAGGAGTATCCTTTGAAAGGGTTCTCAAAGATAGCCATACCTCCACTTCAATCTGGATCCGAAATGTTCAGCTAGCCATTTATTCAATTTTCCCCGCCTTGTTCATCGGAGTCGTTTTCACTGATGGCGAAACGATTGCTAAGGCTGGATTTTTCCAGGGTTACAATTGGGTTGTCTGGGCTGTGATAGTCTCCCAGGCCATCGGAGGACTTGCAACTTCATTCTGCATGACTTTTGCAGACAACTATTTGAGACTTGCGCCTGGAGGTATCAGCATCTTCCTGAGCACCTTGGTCAGTGCCTGGTTTTTTGACTTCAGCCCATCGGCAAATGTAAGACCTTTTTTGAACACTCCCCTGATCATCGTGTGATCTGTATATACTTACCAAAATGTAGTTCATCATCGGCACTGCTATCGTTCTCTCAGCTATTTATATATACCTCCCGGGAATGCAATCAGGGATACCCCCGATCCACATACATGCGGCGGAGAAATCCGGGAAACCGTCCAAGATAGAGATCGACGAGACCCTTTCGTCTCCAAACGACTTTTCTATCAAACTACCTACTACTCCTCTCCTTAACGAGACTGGAATGAGTACCTCTCGACCTAGTTCGCCGAATCGCCACCACTCACGTGTCCACTCATCTAGAGGATCCTATTTCCCGAAGCAAGGTCGTGATAGTTAAACCATGTCTATTATTTTCTTGCCCGGTTTTCTATAATCCTCATACCATGCATATATACTGCGTATGAACCCCAATTATATTCAGCATCTCAATGTGTTACGTCCATTTATAGGAGCATATCCCTCTCCAGGCTCTTCTTTTTAGTCGGCTCATTAGGTGATGTTGTTCCGGGTTATCCAACTATCCTTAGAGATCGTGGTATGCAGCGATACTTTTGTTTCTCTCGAATGGTATGACTTGTATGACAGATATCAAATGAAACATTTTTTTTTCCTAACAGGTATCAAATTTCTCTCGTCGCTTTGCTTGTTCTCTGCCGAGAATCCGGAGCCTCGACACGTGACTTAAACTTTAACTGCGGTCTTGGACTCTATTTTGACGTCGTTTTCAACGTCTAAACGTCACTCTTGAAGAATCAACATGAGACAGCGAGGATTATAGACATCCTTCTTCATAGTAGCGGGGGTATATACAATATACTACGCCGTGCCTGTCTTGTGCTGATGTTACCCTTACGATTTCCTTTCAATGATACCCTAGACCTGCGATTCATAACCCCGAGGACTACATTGCCAATATCAACATGGTCAGCAGTAGTTCTCAGAGGAATTTTCGCTCTCTCCTCAGCACATTTCGCTCTCCAAGCTATAAGTCTGCCAAAATTCCAGAGGAGAATGATGATTTCGAAGGAACTCCAACGAAAAAGGCATATCGAGAGGACTCCCTTCTCCCAAACTTCGAAGAGTTCCACCGCCAACAACAGATACCCAATGCCGAAATTGACGTACTTGATGATGATATCCCCCTGGATGCTTTCGGTATGGCAGCTACTGCGTATCAATGCTGTTGCTCTCCTGATAGCGGTATAAGCTAACAGCACGTTTCTAATTGAGGCAGACAAAGAGTTGCTATCACAGCTAGGTCATGATGCGACAGAACTAGCCGTACCGATGTACGAACCAAAAGTTATATCTCAATCTGAACCTTTCTCTACTCCTTTGCATCGGGGACGCTCCAGTAAATTTAGCAGTTGTATGCGTTGTTCCTGGGAAAAAAGATACCGATATTTCATATCCTTTACTAACGAGAATAGCAAATACCCTTATAACTCCACCATTTCGACCACTGGCCTCCAGTTCTTCAGACTTTGGATCTCCCTCGAGCCCGTTACTTACAGTTGAAGGAATCTCTAGAGGGAGATTCTATGGAGAAGGCCTGGACGTCCATAAGAGTCCACATTGGCCATCTACACGGGAAATCACTCCTCCGGTCAAAATATTCCCTTTCCAGAGACGAGAAATCGTCAAATCTCCGGAGATTCAGTTGAAGCATGCACCGCCTATTATACAAGGCATTAGACTTGTATCTACTCGCGAACTCTCAGATCGATTTCGGACTCTCTTCTCTTTCCCGCTCTTTAACGCAATCCAGTCAAAGACATTCCCTGTAATATACCATCGGACCGATAATGTCGTTCTATCTGCTCCCACTGGAAGTGGGAAAACAGTAATCATGGAACTAGCTATCTGCAAGCTTGTTTCTGATCTTAAGGATTCACGTTTCAAAGTTGTTTACCTTGCACCTACAAAATCATTATGCTCTGAAAGATTCCGTGACTGGCGCGCAAAATTTGCTCTTCTAGACTTACAATGTGCCGAGCTTACTGGGGATACTGATCACTTTCAAATTAGAAACGTCCAACAAGCCAGCATCATTATTACAACCCCCGAAAAGTGGGACAGCATGACTAGGAAATGGAAGGACCACATGAAGCTAATGCAGCTCATCAAGTTAGTTCTTATCGATGAGGTACACATCCTGAAAGAAGCCCGCGGAGCTACATTAGAAGCAGTGGTTTCCCGTATGAAGTCAGTGAATTCCAATGTTCGCTTCGTGGCCCTGAGTGCTACTGTTCCAAATTCGGAAGATATTGCAACTTGGTTGGGAAAAGATCCAACAAACCAACATCTTCCAGCTCATAGGGAGCGGTTCGGAGAAGAGTTCCGGCCTGTCAGACTCCAGAAATTCGTTTATGGGTACCAAGCTAATGGAAATGATTTCGCATTCGATAAAGTCTGTGAGACTAAGTAAGGAACCCGGGCCAACTTCACGATATTGGGCTTAACTAACCGGCCGTAGACTTCCAGAAGTCCTTGCTAAGCATTCGTCCAAGAAACCCATCTTAGTGTTCTGCTGCACGAGGAACTCGGCAATTGCAACGGCAAAAAATTTAGCAAAGCTATGGTCCTCAACCAACCCACCTCAAAGGCTTTGGAAAAGCCCTACAAAACCAATCCACGTTCAGAATGCTGATTTGAGCGGTAATAATACATCTTGCTCTTTCCATCTATTATTGAATGGTCATTAACGAGTTATGATAGGTATTGTTTCTACCGGGGTAGCATTCCATCATGCCGGTCTTGATAGCTCCGATAGGCATACCATTGAAACCAGCTTTCTGAATGGCCAAATAAATGTGATATGTTGTACGTCAACATTAGCTGTTGGTGTGAATTTGCCATGTCACCTAGTGGTCATCAAAAACACAGTATCCTGGCAAGATGGTGGTTGCAAGGAGTATGCAGACTTAGAGATGATGCAAATGCTAGGCAGAGCAGGGCGACCGCAGTTTGATGACAGTGCAATCGGAGTTATACTAACTCGGAAGGAGAGAGTGGCCCATTACGAAAAGCTTGTTTCTGGCTCTGATCCTCTCGAGAGTTGTTTACATCTAAACCTAATAGATCACCTCAATGCTGAAATAGGCCTCGGGACGGTTACAGACGTCGAATCGGCAATTCGATGGCTTCGAGGAACTTTCTTTTTCGTTAGACTACAACAAAATCCTACCTATTACAAATTAAAAGAGGGTGGTAATAGGGCAGATGAAGAGGAATTGCTACGGCAGATTTGCGAAAAGGACCTGGAACTCCTCCAGGAAAATGACCTAGTGACACCAGAGCCCCCGTTCAAATCTACAGAGCTTGGAGATGCAATGGCTCGGTATTATGTGAAGTTTGAAACCATGAAACTGTTTTTGTCTCTGCCTCCAGAAGCAAAAATGTCTGAAATAGTAAGTTAGGAGGTCTTCACTTGTTTTGAAGTTCGGTATCTAATTTATAACTGCCAGCTTTCGGTCATTGCTCAAGCAGATGAATTCCGGGATATACGGCTAAAGCCTGGGGAGAAATCCCTGTACAAGGAGATAAACAAAGCAAATGGCATCAAATTCCCTATCAAAACGGACATAAATCTTTCGGCTCATAAAATAACACTCCTGATTCAGTCTGAGTTAGGTGCTGTGGAACTTCCATCTGGCGAACAATTTCAGAAACACAGATTATCGTTTCAACAGGATAAAAGCCTGGTCTTCTCTCACATCAACCGAATCATCCGCTGCATCATTGATTGCCAACTAGCTCATGGAGATTCAGTAAGCGCGAGACATGCTCTTGAGCTATCCCGGAGCCTAGGAGCGAAAGCCTGGGATGACTCTGTGTTACAACTCAAGCAAATAGACCAAATCGGGATTGTAGCAGTTCGGAAATTTGCAAGCGCTGGCATCACAAATATGGAGCAGCTAGAGGCTGCGGAACCAATTCGGATTGAGACTATATTGTCAAGGAACCCGCCCTTTGGCATGAAATTACTTGCTCGAGTAGCCGAATTTCCAAAACCAAGGGTTTCTTTGAAAGAACTCGGGAAGGTAAGTATCTCAGTGCTTTACATGAACGTTATATGTTGTACCTATAAGTGGTCTAAACTGCAAAGGATATTAAACCAGGGAAAACTGCACAAGTTAAATTCAGAGCAGACATTGGATTTGTCAATGAGAAACCTCCTCTTTATTTCCAAAAGCGGCAGGTTTACGTATGCTTTTTAGCAGAGATTTCTGATGGCCGGATCCTCGATTTTCGACGTTTTCAGTAAGTTAATTAAGCAGTTGATACTACATACTACCTGGATAGCAGAGCTGACACGCCAAAGTGCTAGTAAATTACAAAAAGGACAACAAATAGTCCTAACGGCCGAAATAACGAATCCTTTTCAAACAATTACTTGCACCGTTATGTGTGATGAGATTGGTAAGCCGCCGTGAGCCTGTCGAAGCTATTTTGCTCACGACTTACTCTATCTAGCTGGAACTATGAGACAAGCAGAAATCCAACCCACCCTCCCAAAGTTTCTATTTTCATCGTGTAAAGGCGCCCCAGAACATTACCTAGGTCCACGCAACTGTCCACACCCTAAAACCTCAATGAAGCCCAATGCTGCATCGCCCCCGGCTCCTCAGCAGGAGGACTTAGATCAGTTCAGTGATGATCCCCTCAATTACAGCGACTTCATTCCAGAAGGTACGAAAAGCCCAACCTTGAAGATCAAAATGCCAGCTAATGTTTTATGTTGTATTGGTCAAAGACTTTGATGATATCCTCCAAAGCAGAAACAAAGGCCCAACAACGGCAGTGACAGCCACATCAGCGCCAACTGCACTTTCTATATCATCCAAAATGAAGAAGACAATAAGTAGGGGCAACAGCTCTGTGACTTCTGAGCCAGTTCAACTTGATAATGGGAAATGGGCATGCAACCACCGATGCAAAGACAAAACAGCGTAAGATAATCTCTCCCTTGAGGCCAATGACGTACTAATGGAACACAAATTTTATAGATGTAAACATCTCTGCTGTAGAGAAGGTACAGACCAGCCTCCAAAGCAAAGCAAGAAGCAAGTTACAGAGGCGTCTAATAAGCGGCCTCAGTCGGGTAACTGCGAGGCGAAGTCTAAAATATCCAAAGACAACATCAAGCTAGAGCGTCAAGTTGAAGTAATTGACCTGACGAAGCCAGAACCTACTAAGAAGAAACTAACCAGTGGGGTGAGGGCAGAAAAATCGTCAAGCAAGCGAAAAGATAGGGACGAAACGCCCACATTGCATCATTCATATAGTCGGAGAACTCCTTCCCCGCTATCGGATGACACGCTAGATCCATTACAACTGCCCTTACCAGTAAGGAAAGTAAAGGCCATGAAATATACCTTATCCGATGGAGATGATTTTGAAGAGTTTGAATCTTTGATGGGAGATTTTGAGAGCTCCCCTACCAAAAATAACATCCCCGCCGAGAAAGAAACAAGTCAAACTTCAGAACATCGCTCCCCGACCAATAATGCAGATTTTGAGGACTCTAGAGACTTGTTTGGCGAGGACGATGCCATGGACGATGACGCCCTAAATCACGTCAATGATAAATCTATGGAGGTTATGTCCTTCAAGAACCTGGATGATACCCCCTGCATCTACTCTTCCCAGAAAAAGGACTGTGAAGGAACTGTACCTGCAATTCAAAGACATAAAGCGGACCTGTTGCCATTACAGGCCCAGTCATTGCAATACAATGTTGATGTATTGCCCACCGACCAGGGTGTAGAAGACGACAACTTATTCCTGACAAACCCTCCTACTCCAACAAAAGGTATACCTGATACGAAAGTGAGTGGTAAAGAAAACCTGGACATTTTTAAATTGGTACCGTCCAAGAGGAGAATATCAGATTTGACAGCTACTGAAATACCCTTAGCCGAGGGTAATATTGTCGATATACAACACCAGAAAGGCAGCCCACGATCTGAGCATCCGAGACAAATTGATCCATTGCTCCTAGAGGAGTTTGGAGCTGTTGCAGAGTTTTACTAACATAGTCACTAATATATACCTAGTTAAAAGGTACACTGGCACCAGCTGTGCTAACTACAATATATAACTACTCTGTGTTCTCTTTCAACCTTCACAACAATAAACTAAGCCTTGATTCCTAGTTCATGATTCTTTGAAATATATCTAAAGTTAGTCTCCTATACTATGTCCCTCTCTAGCCTGTTGATTCAAAGTGATAAATGCAGCACCTAGGCAACAGTGCTCGGCATGATATTGTACTTTGGCGTCCTTGTTTGTTTTTACTTCACGCCTTCTGTAGAGTAAAAATCTTCTGACAGATGTCCTCTTGTATCTTTGATGATACTTTCTTCCTCAGCCATCCGAGTCTTGTTTCAGGCATATGCAAATTCATCGTCAAGGTGGGCCTCTTCGGAAAGCTACGTAGAAGGATACCTGTAAGTATTTTTGAAAACCCAATACAAATGTATCTTTTGACCATTGTTATTGTCTAAAAACACGAGAACTGGAGCTGATGCTCTTGTAGTGTTTCATTCGGAAGGCAGCTTGCTAAATATCAACATCTAGCTCGAGCAGCGAGGACGTTTCAACGGATACAACGCGAGCGAGTACTCCCTTGGAGAAAAGATGGTTAAAATCAGCTTTGCAGACGTAAGTCACGGCCCAGGGAGATAACAAGGTAGGGGAGTGCGGAGGCAAAGGTTGATGTAGAGACGAGTTTCAATAGAAGAAAGCCCACGGAGTTAGACTAGGGAAATTTTTGTCGAAGGAACTGGTAAGCTCCGTATCCTTCCACCCTTTGATAGCCAGTGACTCGTGGAAACGTTATTGACGTGTTGGCATAGAGGAAAAGAATCCCGCCGGGAATTAACGCATGGGATGCTGGACGTGACCCGGACGTGGAGCTAGACCTGGCAGGGAAGGCGCTCACTGACGATGGGCTCTCTGTATTTATTGATGACCTCGTCCAGTGCATGAGTTATCGTGATAAGGATTATCCAAAGGGGACAGTCCGACTCACTGAGCTCTGTCTAAGTGGCAATAACTTGACGGTCATGTCACTCATGAAGCTGAGTGAGGTTATATTCATCGGTATCACATCGCTAACAAAGGTGGATATCTCAAAAAACAGCATTCGAGTTAACAACGAATATGAGCGGAGAGCATTGAGCTCATTTTTGAATGCATTCCGCTATAGCTGCCTTGTCAAGAAAATTGATTTTAGTGGAAATCATCTGGAAAATGCCGGGTTCGACGTTTTGTCGTGCATGTACTTCAAAGGCGGTTATCATTCTAGCAACTTTTCCCTCGTTGCCAGTAAGTTTCAAGCCCACCATACTAAAATTCAACATGTTTAAGTAAGGGCATCGTGCTGACCAATATTAACCAGAGATAGTCGAATCGAGCGCTGAACAGGCTGAATCTGCAAATGAGTTGGAATTTTATGCCCGCAAAAGAGGTCTTCGGTCAATACCCTACCTCATATTCTCTAATACGTGCAACTCCCCGCTCTGCGCGTTCCATCTCTGGAATATCGTCACGGCTCATGAGTCTGCAAGAGCACTTCTCGAGTTTCTTCCGGCTGGAAAGGATATGGCTCCCCCAGGCCTTGAAGGCAGAGATTCAGGAATCGTGTGCACTCCGAACAAAGGCCTATCGCCTCTTTGTCAAGCATATTTGGAGCTTGGGAAAGAGATCCACAATATTACGAGAGCTGACAAGGGGATTGATGCCATCGACTTGCAAGTCGGAGCCATGGAAGATCGTGAGCGGGCTGTAACTGAGCTAGAGATCCTCAAAATGAAGAAGATCGAGATGGAAAGAGTCCAAAAGCGAATCATTATCTCTGCATTGGAGTCATTTGGCCTTCACAGTGTCAGGTTGTGGACTATCACATTCAGGCTCCTGGTTGCTGCCCGTGCTATTTTGCTTGACGAGAGAAACCGACCTCAAGAATCAGCTCTTTGGAACAGTGATGAAAACTTGGGACCACTGTTGAAAGCCCGCATTAATTATCAGACTTCCCTGACATCAAGAATCTGGGCCTTGAAGCTTTCCAACGAACCACATATTCCACAAGGTTCCATGGGGTTTCCAACAAGTCTTTTCCAGCGACAGTCATACGCCAATCGTTTCAGCCACAACACCAATCTGCGGCTCAAAGCTGCTTATAAGTCACCCTACCGCTTCGGCTTGCCAATATATGTCTGGAGGGATATCTTAGCCATGGCTTTCGATGAACTGGATATCTTGGGAAGAGAACAACAGGTCCGCGTAGTTGAATATGCCAGTGACTGGACTGGCATCGAGCAGCAGATTGCTCTTCAAGGCGCGCGCGAGAGCGAGCAGATCTGGAGAATTCTGAACACCGTCGACTGTCTTGTTTACACCTTCGAGTGAAGTTTGAGATGGAGCAGAGGAAGAAATGAAGCATGGACGTTGGTATTTCCTTTTTCGGAGGAAATATTCCATACTAACATATCACGTGACTTTGTATTTATTAGGTAATATGATTAGTCAATATTCAATATTCGATATCGAGATAAAGATTGATAAGAAAGTCGACAGGCAAAGTCGACATTCAAAGCCGATGGTGAAGAAGAGGCAGCAATACGCAGGAGAGGCAAGCTTTCACTTCAGATTCACCCTTTCTTCCCTGCTTCTTCTTGCTATATATTAAGAGACTTATAGCTGCCTGAGAAGACGTTATTCTTCTGCTCATAATTGTTGACCATATTAAAATATACACCATGGTCAAGAATAAAGGGAGTAACTCGGCCAAAGTGCCGCTTCCACTCGCCCTGGAAGCTCCCTATGCTGCTCCTACAACCTTCAACGATGGACTTCCTCTGCCTAAAATATTTGTTTTTGACTTAGATTACACCCTGTGGCCGTTTTGGGTAGATACCCATGTTAGCGCTCCTATAAAAGCCAAGGATAACAACTCTCGCTGCGTTGACAGGTATGCTTTCTGGGCCTAGTCCCCTGAATTCTGAGTGCTCCTCTATGCTCCTTGATAGCTGACTTCTTTCTCTATCGACAGATGGGGAGAATCATTTTCATTTTATCCAGCAGTTCACTCGATTCTACAAGCATGCCGGGCGCGGTCTATACCTGTCAGCCTGGCATCGCGTACAAACACGCCAGATCTCGCACGCGATGTTCTCAAAGCTCTACATGTCATTCCATCCTTCACAGATAATCCTGCCGCCGATAATCGTTCTATACGTGCGCTCGATTACTTTGAACATATTCAGATATACCCGGGGACAAAAACGCAACATTTCACTCGTATTCAGCAGTCAAGTGGCCTGAAGTACGAGGATATGCTCTTTTTTGACGATGAGCCTCGCAATAAAAACGTCCAAGCAGAACTTGGCGTGACATTCTGCCTTGTTAAAGACGGAATAACTAAGGAAGAAGTAGATAGAGGAGTCTGGGAATGGCGGAAGCGAATGGGTATAAGCCAGGCTGACCGGAAGTCGGCTGAAGAGAAGAATTAATCGCTGATGGTAGGACGCGTATTTAGACTCATCTACATTAAGCTACAATATATTTATCGTAATTAATGGTAGAAAGCGCATACAATCTGGGTGTTGCCAGCGGTATTTCCACAGCTGTCTACTATTGGTGGGATTTGTAGCTTCCAAATGGCGCTTGTGTTGACATCAACCACCTCTGCAGCTTCACAAGTCACCAACCTTCAACTGCAACGTGAAATAACCATGTCAACAAGAACATCCTCTTCCACTCATAGGCCTTCGGCAGCTCCATCAATCCCCAGGCCGCCATTGAATGTCCATCCAACCGCTACGATCTCTGAAACCGCGTATTTTCAAGGCGTCCACCCAATCTCGGTGGGCGCAGGAACCGTCATCCACCCTCGCGCAAAGCTACTGTCCTTCAAGGGACCAGTCAGCATAGGTGAAGGATGCATTATCGGCGAGAAATCTGTGATAGGAGGGCCGGTTATGAGTAATTCAGGCCTGTCAACGCCTACGACTCCGCCAACGCCCGGTACGCCTCTTGACTTCGGCTCCAGCATTGAACCGGCTGCTCCAGATCGAATCACCACCATTATAGAAAATTCAGTGAGCATTGGACCTCTTGCGACCGTCTCTGCGGGTGCCCATCTATATTCCGCCTCGGCAATCGAAGCGTCAGCGTTTATAAGTAAGGATGTGAAAGTTGGAAGACACGCTAAGATCTGTACATCTTGCCTGATACCCGAGGGGGATACGGTCGAGGCCTGGACAGTCGTATGGGGCGGTGGACGAGTTGGAGGATCACTTGGGGGCAAACTACAGCGGAGAAAAAGAGCAGCGGGAAATACTGACGATAATAGGAATCTACATAGTCTGAACGGGGGACTGGTGGAAACGGGCCGGCTGGTAGCATTGAACCGGGAGAGAGAGAGCTTGACCAAACTGATCGGGATTAACTCTGGGAAGAGGAGATGAAGACTGCCGCTGATGTTGGATTTATGTCTATCCTTTGACCCCTATCACTTGCGCTCAAGATGCAGGATTGTTACCATTGTTTTTTTACACTCAAGAGATACCCGTTTAGATGATTTAATGCATAGCGACATATTTGTGGCGGATGGGGCCAGATCTATAGGAATAATATGGAGTACAGTGAGCACATCAACGGTTCATTTTACGTTGAATCAAGATGTAAATTAATATACATGAGCAACCGATATCATACCCACTGATGATTTAACAGCAGATCAATCAAGTGAGTTCATTTTAAAATGAAACGTATAGCCAAACCATTCCAATAACAACGGTCAACAAATGAAAAAATGGAAAGGGATGAGGAACGATGGAAGTATAAGAAAGAAAAGATGCCAAACAAAAGGAATGCATGAAGGGTGTATTTTTGAGTAACTGTGAGGCAATGATATTAGCCTGAGCCTGCACCACCTCCACGGATTCGTTTTCCGCTTCCTGTTTCAGGAGCTTCAGCTCCATCTTCTCTTGTTCGTTTATTACCCTGAGGGATGAACTGTCGGGCCTGGGCATTTAGTCCACCTCGTCCACCTCTAGGACTCGATTGGCCTGCCCCCGCCGGGAGATTGCCAGTCTGGACATTCTGGGCTCCACCACGGCCAGGCCCTCCTCTACCACGGCCGCCGCCACGGGGAATACCATGCCCTCGGGAGGCTCCAAGTTGCTGACCTTGCTGGCCTTGCTGTGGCTGCTGTTGTTGCTGACCTGCAACGTTATGTGGTTGGGTGACTTGGCCAACAGGCCCACCCCTGCCACGGCCCCCACGAGCTACAGGTAAGCCTGATTGAAGGGCTCGAAGCACCCCAGGACCAGTTCCCCCAGCAGGATGGTGTGTAGACTGAGGAGGCCTGCTAGGGAGGCCTGATACCGGCTGACCTTGTTGGGTCTGCTGGGTCTGCTGGGGTTGTTGTTGATGTTGAGGCTGCTGAGGCTGCTGAGGCTGGACGTTCTGGGCAGGTTGCTCCTGTCCTTGTTGCGGTTGTCCTTGAGCTGTTGGCTGAGGAAGAGAAGAAGGTTGAGGCGCCTGGGGAGCTTGGGGGGCCTGTTCCGGTCGTTCCGCTGGGGTTGGAGTTTGCTGCGAATCAGTAGGCATCGTTGGCTTAGCAGGTGTCGTCGGCGCTGCAGGTACCTGTGCAGCAGCCTGCTGCGTCGCTTGCGATGGAAGGGTTGCAGTTTGTGCGGGAGCTGGTGCCTGACCTGCAGGTTTAGGCGTAGCAGCCTGAGATACTGGGGCGGGCTTTGCAACTTTGGCAACCTCCCAAACCTCCACCACTGGCTTCTGAGGGGTTTCAGTCGCGGCCTTCTGGACAACTTCTAGCTTAGCCTGTGCATTTCGCGCCCGTCCCTCCGTCATGCTGACCTTGGCCAGTAGTCGTTTCTCGGCCAGTTCGACGGCTGAATTGACCTTCTGATCCCGCTCCTTCATATATGCCTCCTTTTCTTCGTTGAATTTCTTCTCCATTTCCTTGAGAGCTGCGGGATCTGCTTCCTTAGACATAGATTCCCGCTCCCTAGCTAGGGCGTTCTTGATATTGTTCCTGACGATGCCGCGGATGGTTTCATTCTTAGCCACCAATTCCCTGGCTTGACTATCAGTTAGCTCTGGAGGGAGTTCACCAGAGGGTCTAGCTGCAAGTTCCTGTTGGTGAGCCGCGGTCAATTTGTCGATTTGTTCTTTGTGGGCTGTCTTGTATTCAGCTAGCTTGTTGTTCAGTGTCTCCTTCATTTTCTCGATACGCTCCCTGATCTTTGCATCTGTTTCCGCCTCCTTCTCGGCCAGAGCTGCCTCCAGTTTAGCGACCTTCTCCTCCAGTTCTGCTATCTTCTGTGCACTTTCGGCACTAGGATGTTCAGAAGACACTGCAGCCTGGACAGGAGCGGGCTGTGGCTCAGGAGCGCTCTGAGCAGCAGCGGCTTGTTGATTTTCGGATACACTAGCTTTGAGAGCATTGAGCTCTTCTCGCGTACTGTTGAGCTCGAGTTGAATGGCCTCCTTCTCTTGAATAGCAATGTTGAGCTCCCCTTGTTTAGCGTTAATTCTGCCCGTGAGCTCCTTGGATCTGGCTTTGAACTGTTCGGTCAGCTTAGAACGGAGATCATGAACCTTCTCCTCAGCTTGCTTCAGCTGTTCTGGGAATGCATCAATCTGGGCCTGAAGGGCACTCTTCTCAGTGGAGGCCTCAGCCTGCTCCTTTTCAAGGGTTGCAAGCTTCTCTTTTAGTGCCTCCATCTCAACGGGGTCAACTCGGTCATACTTCTGAAGAATATTTTGAGTGCGCTGTTGCCATCGGTCCCTGTCCTCTTGAAGCAACTTAACTTCGCCATCTTTAGTCTCAAGATTATTCTCAAGTTCTCGGATGCGGGTTTGAAGAGGCTCAGCCTGTTGTTGAATTTCTTCGATTTGAGCAGATTTCGACGCGATGGCTTCTTCGTATTGTTTAATTTGGTTGCGAAGAGTAACACTGCTCTCACGGAAGAGATTGAGCTCGTTAAGGGTTTCCATGAGCTTGTTGTGGTTGAGAGTGTTGTGCTCACTGTCAGCTTCAGCACGGCGTTGCTGTTCAAGTTTGAGGCGAGTCTCTTCAAGCTGGCTCTGAGTGTAATCAAGCTGTTGTCGAAGTCTTTTCCCTTCTTGAGTGGAAAGATGGTATTGGACATCGACAATCTCCTTCTCTCTACGCAGGAATTTGATGACTTCCTGGAGACCCTCCAAGTCGGTACCGGATGCATCGGTTTCTCCCTCGGGATTCTCTGGCATACTGGCCCGATCACGCTGCAGAGCGGAAATTTGGCGAGTGATAGTCTCCAGCTGCCCATGAAGAAGCGAGTTCTGCTTGAGGACTTCTTCCCTGCGGCGATTCAATTCCCCAATCTCGGACTCGTAACGTTCCTTCAACTCATTCCAGTTCTCTTCTTGATGAGTTAGGTTATTCTTAGCGCTCTCTGCTTGTGTCCGCAGATCAACAACTTCCAGTTTGAGTTGGTTGGCTTCGGCCCGGACGGTTTGTAGATTTCTTGCGGCCTCAGCATGCTTGACGAGTTCGTTTTCATAGTTCTGTTGGGCATTCTGAGCAATTTCAGCTTGAGTCTTCAGATCCTGTTGATGGTATTGTGCAGCTGCAGTGTATCGTTCTTCATTCTCTTTGAGTCTCTTGATTTCAGCCTCCAGCATTTCTTTCTGATCGTCCATACGGCGCTGAGCTTCACCCTCTTGGTCTCGAAGTTTGGAAATCTCGTTGTTAGTAGCCGCAAGCTCGCTAGTGATTTCCTCCACACGTTTCTCCAAATCCGCAATCTTAGCATTCTTCTCCTCAAGAAGGCGATCAGTCTCTTCACGGTATTGCTCATTGGTATCACTAAGAGCCTCAAGTCTTTCTTCAGTTGACTGGCTAATGGCCTTGAAATCTTCAGCCTGTTCCTTCGCATGCTCCAGTTCGCCCTTGGTAAGCTCAAGATCACGTTTCAATTCAGACACTTCAATTGCAAGCTCCTGTTCTCGGCTCAACTGGTTGTCGGGCACTGCTTCAGTAGACTCATCCCCAGCAGTAGGTACGGTGGCACCGGTATTGGGCTTATGCTGTAATACCGCAAGTCGCTCCTCTACGCTCTTAAGTTCAACAGATAACTCGTCAACTCTCGATTGCAAATGGTCTCTACTCGTCTTTGTGGCAATGAGTTCTTCCCGCGAGGAGCTCAGGCTTGTGACAAGATCATCGATTCTCTTCTGGCTTTGCTCGTGGTCATATTCCTTGCGTAGTGTCGCCTTCTTTGCCTCCTCAGTTTCTTCATTGAGTTTGCGTTTGGTAATTTGGAGCTCGGATTCCAAAGACTCAACCGTTGCTTGCAGACGGCGTCTACTCTCAGTTTCAGAATGCTCGCGTTCATTAAGCATAGACTGCAAGTTAGCATTCAATGAATCAAGGCGGCTACGTTCATTGCGCAGCGCCTCGTTGTCTTCAATGAGCCTCTTCTCAATGCTCTTCCAAAGT